CATTATCAATTTCTCTGTCTCATTTTCTTTAGTTTGTATCAGCAACCTAACGAAGGCTGTGTTGCATGAGGTGCTCTCACACCCACACGTATACAAACTCCCTCCTGGGTTCACCCTTCATGTGTGTTAATTGTCAAGGTGACTGGCTGCCCTGAGAGTTTTCCACAGTCTTAATTTTACTCACTGTGCACCCACAGGTTCCATGGTCTGTGCTTCCAAATAGATTGACACTGAGTCTCAGGTGGATTCATGTTTGGATTTTGGGCAAATCTATTTAATGTATGGCAGTTTTTGTAAATTTATGCTTATTACCACAGAATAATCATATGTAATGATTATATGCAATAACCTCATTGTGACATGTTCATATATGTGTATAATGTACTCTGATCTCACCACTTGTCTTAGTTAGGGTTCCTGTTGCAGTGATAAAATACCATGACCAAGAGCAAGTCAGGGAGGAAAGGGTTTCAGCCCACAGTTCCACGTAACGGTCCATCACCGAGGGAAGTCAGGGCAGAAACTCAAGCAGGACAGGAACCTGGAGGCAGGAACTGAAGCAGAGTCCATGGAGGAGTGCTGCTTACTGGCTTGCTCTTCGTGGCTGGCTTGTGCCACCCAGGACTACCAGGGTGAGACCACCCACAATGGACTGGACCCTCCCATATCAGTCACAATCTGATGGGGGCATTTTCTCAATTGAGATTCCATCTTTCAAAATCACTCTAGCCTCTGCCAATTTGACATTAAAACTAACCAGCACATCCCTCATCATCCTCTCTTGTGCCCCTCCCCCTCCCACTGATCCTTCCTCTTCCCTACCAGTCCCCTTCTAGTTTATGTGTGTGTGTGTGTGTGTGTGTGTGTGTGTGTGTGTGTGTGTGTGTGTGTGTGTAGCCCAGTTTCATTAGGACTGTGTACAGGAGCATTGGTGAAAGGTTATTTAGAGGAACATGGGCACCTTACCACTAAATCGTTGGAAGCAAAGCATCACCCTCTCCAGCAGCCATTACTACCTGTAATTCTCAGGGAGGAGCAGGGCTTCGTGAGTTCTTCCCCTCCCATGACAGGATGTTGAAAGCCCAACCTTGGGCAGTTTCTCGTGCAGGTAATCGTAGCTGCTGCGAGTTCCTAATACACCACACCAGGGGACATGTGCAGTCTACTTGTCCCTTCTTTTGAGATGTTAGTGCCCACTGATGACCACTGTCCAGGCCCACATTTCGTTAGGGGTGGACCCACGCTTACTCTTCTGCTGTCTTGCTCTTTCTAGCTGGTGTGTCTGGAACACTCGGAAAGAAACAGTTTTTCCTCAATGGTTTGGTCACTTCAGAAAAGAGAATAAATGGTGATTCTTCCTCCCAGTTGTTTTTTAAAAGTGGAGTGGTGGCACATGCCTTTAATCCCAGCACTAGAAAGGCAGAGGCAGGAGACTGACTGTCTGTTTGGGGCCAGTCCAGTCTACATAGGGAGTTCTAGGCCAGCTAGAACTACATGGTGAGACCCTGTCTCAAAAAAAAAAAAAAAAAGTAGCCAGGTGGTGGTGTACACCTTTAATCCCAGCACTTGGGAGGCAGAGGCAGGTGGATCTTTGTGAGTTCAAGGCCAGCCTGGTACAGAGCGAGATCCAGGAAAGGCGCAAAGCTACACAGAGAAGCCCTGTCTCGGGAAAAAAAAAAAAAAAAGTAGATCCTAACATCCTTCAAAGTGGTAAGGAGTTTAATTTTGTAGGGAAATGTGGATTTAAGTATGCTTGGCATATTCTAAACCATGGTGATTATGGCCTTACTGGTGCCCAGAATGTCCCACGGGAGAGAAGCAGCCTCTTCCCCTTGGTTCTGAGCCCCTTTGATGCCACAAATGGCCTCTGCTCTGTGAAGGTGTTCTTGATTCACTTCATACACTCCCTGCCCGGGACCTGGACTGGACCGTTTCTCTAAGAAGCCTTGATTCCTTTTAGTGAGAAACAGAGTAGATTTGATTCATGATTCCCTGCCTTCTGAACAGGGCCACATCAGGCTGGCAATCTTCCGGGATGGTGTTTTCTCTGCCCCATTGGTTTCCTAGGTAGAACACCTGCCCTCTGGGTTGAATCCCAGGTCCTGGGGCCTTCCAATCATCCCATTGTGGAAACCAGTCAGCCACAAGCAGCCACAGGGTCGTTCCACACCATACGTTGTCCTTTGGCTTATGCCATGGAAATCTGTCCTGGCTCAGGAAACCTGGTGTCATCCAGACGTGTTGCTGAGAAGCTGGTGTGCACTTTGCTTCAGAGCCTGAAATGTCATTTGTATGGTCCCTGAACTTTTGAGAAGGTGGGGTCTCCACTGAGGGTCTGGATAAAGAATAGTTACCAACATGAGTTAAGCTAGGAAAAGAAAAATCTTTCCCAAGTATTTCCACAGACATAGCATCTACTCCATCTTCACAGCCTTCCCTGGGAGGGGCACTAAGGTTTGAACTGTTAACCTTGGCTTCCAGCCATGGAGACCAGGCTTCGAGAAGATGGAGGGCAATGTGGCCAGAGTCCATGGCTACTGAGTAATGAGGCCACACCACAGCCCAGCCTCCCTGGCCAGTGCTCTTTCTGCTTCACACTGCTGCTTGACTAGAGAACTAGAAACCCAGGGTCCATCCTGTAAGATTAGGCTCAGCTCTGTGACACCACAGGGGCCTGGAGAGCGGAGGAGGTGCGCCTGAGCACAGGTTTGTAGCGCATGTCAGTCCCACAGTCCTCTAACATGCTTGTATCCAGCTATCACTGGGTAAAGTGAAAGACTGAGGGCCTCTCCGTGTCTCCTGTGCTAGACTTTGGCCTTCATTATACTGGGGGGAGTTTGGGGCTGGTATAGAGCGAAGAGAAACAAATAAGGTTATGTCGTAGCTCTTGAGCTTCCGAGGGTCCAGGTCCAGGCAGCTGAGTCAATTCCCAACTTTAAGATGCTTTATCCCCATGATGGGACAGCTATTCCTCAGGCCACACATCTGTGCAGATCAACCTGGGCACTGGGCACTCATTCATTGCTGCTGCTTCTTCTTCTTGATGCTATTCCCAGTGTGGATTTTGTGAAGTGGTCCTCCCAGGGGATGCTGAGGATGAGTCCGGATGCCATGAATGCCCTCTTTAAGCCAACCATTGACAGCATCATCGAGCACCTCCGTAAGTATCAGATGGGCCTCAGCCGCTTGTGAGACAGAACTTGGAATAGGGACAGTTACTGAGGCAGACTAGTTGGTAGTAACCTGGATCTGGAAGCTACAAGGTTGGAGCCTTGTGGAATGGGCAGGGATTGGGTGCATCATGAGGGAGGCTGCTGGACGTGGCTCCGTATATTGTTCTCTAATTCTGCAAAGCTGAGAAAGCTGAGGACCTGCCCTTACTTAGGCTTCACTTTGGCCTTGAAGGTCAGAGGTCAAGAAACTCTGAAGCCATCCTAGAGTGACACGCCCTGGGAATTTATCTCGTCTGAAGTATCAGGATGACTTAGGAATCCTTGCCTCACTGGGAAAGAAGGAACTGTCTGGTGAACCAAGGGAGGGGTCCAGCAAGACAGAGTCTGTTCATGCTGTCATCTTGTGTGTCGGTTGTCCTCACCCAGAGACACACAGTAACCTGATGGAGAGTTTTTTTCAGGATCCAAACATCATACCCTGTATTCATCCCTCACCCACCTTTGCGAATATCAGAGACAATTATTTCTAGCAGCTTGGACTACATGTTTAAAGGAATACTATTGTTATGAAGAATGAATTCTAATTAAAGTCACCACCACCTCTGACAAATTAGGCTTCTACTTGGCACAGCCCTGGCCTTTGTTCCTAGGCATACAGTGTGTAAACCTTTCCTCATAAGACTAGCTCAGTACAAACTCCGTTCGATGAGCTCAGGCAAAGGCAGTGACCCCCACAGGCTCAGACAGCTGCGTTTCCCCCTTGCTGGCTTGCTTTGGGTAACCTGATCTTCCCTTCTCCTTCCCTTTCAGGGGACCTGTTTCAGAAGCCCGAGGTTTCCACAGTCAAGTTCCTCTTCCTGGTGGGTGGCTTTGCAGAGGCGCCCCTTCTGCAGCAGGCAGTGCAGGCCGCCTTTGGTGACAAGTGCAGGGTCATCATCCCCCAGGATGTGGGCCTCACCATCCTCAAGGGCGCTGTCCTCTTTGGCCTGGACCCTGCTGTCATCAAGGTGCGCCGGTCTCCTCTCACCTACGGAGTGGGTGTGCTGAACCGCTACGTGGAGGGGAAGCACCCTCCTGAGAAGCTGCTGGTGAAGGACGGCACACGCTGGTGCACTGATGTCTTTGACAAGTTCATCTCTGCTGACCAGTCCGTGGCCCTGGGGGAGCTGGTCAAGCGCAGCTACACTCCAGCCAAGCCCTCCCAGCTGGTCATCATCATCAACATCTACAGCTCTGAGCATGACAATGTCAGCTTCATCACTGACCCAGGGGTGAAAAAGTGTGGTACGCTCCGCTTGGATCTCACGGGGACCGGCGGCACAGCGGTGCCTGCCCGCAGGGAAATCCAGACCCTCATGCAGTTTGGGGACACTGAGATCAAGGCCACAGCCGTTGATATCGCCACCTCAAAGAGTGTCAAAGTGGGGATAGACTTCCTAAATTACTAATGTAACCGTCCCTCCCTGCCACCAACCCCCTGGGACTTGTCTGCATTCGCTGACCTCAACTTTGACTGTTCTGTCCCCAACCTTGACCCTTGCCATTGCCCACCTGAATTTCAGTAGGAAAGATGAGAACCAGGGAGAGAATTAACTAAGGATCTTTTTTTTTTTTTTTTTTTTTTTGAGGGTACGCTGGAGTCAGAAAAACTCAGAAATTAATATCAAGGTCTGGAAATAGAAAGTTCAAGAATCCCAAAGCAGCCAGCTTTCACAGGTTCCTTGGTGAGGAAATCAGTGCAGCTTGCCATGAAGAGGTCCCTGTAAGGGAGGAGTTAGGACACCCACTGCCAACTCTTTAGATTTAAAGTGAGATCTTTGAGCCAGGCGGGAATCTTCTTTAGAGGTCTTTTTAAATTATCTTGGATGGCAGTGAATAGGAGATATCAGCTTCCTGCAGTTAATTTCTTCTCTTTATCATGGGACTCAAATCGGTGACTCAGTGGCAACTTACAGTATTTTTAAGCTGGTGGGAGAAGACTGCCGGCACTATTTTAAGTTCTCACATAATTTAAATTCCAGGAAGGCTCAATGAAGGATAGGACAGCCTTGGCTAACTCAACCAGGATTGGGGAATGAGGGTAAGAATGCTGATACCTCAATTTTCCAGAGCAGGTAAAACTTCCTTTGGTAGAAATGCCCACTGAAGAGTTAGTGATTTACCCCAAATTACAGCGGCCCCCTTTTATTGACAGAAGATGCATTCTGAGGTCGCCTGACAACTGCCCAAAGCTGTGGATGGCACCAACCTTATCTATACTGAGTTTTTTCTATACTTACATACCTGTGATAAATTTAATAAAGTAGTAAGAGATTAGCAACAATAATGATGAAATAGGACAATTGTGAAAACACACTTTGATAAAATTTATATGAATGTGGTGGTCTATCGCAGCATATCTCACTATACTATACTGTTATGCATTTTTGGACCACAGTTGACTAGGGTTCACTGAAAACCCAGTAAATGAAGACACAGATCAGAAAGTAATTCCCAGAACCATAAACCTTGAGTTCAGAGGCTCTGCATAATTCTAGGTGATCTTAGTAGGAATTTAGTTTGAGAAAATGAAGTTTTTATTTGCCCTGTTTATATGTATCACCAAGCCCAGAAATCCAGCACAGCCCCTGGCTTGCAAACCATGCGCATTTCCAGTTAACCCCTTTCTTCCGGCTGTTCTTCATTACCAATAAGGAAATGTGAAAGGGGGTTCTGTTCCATGAAATGTCTCAATCAAATCTTCAGCTTTTCAAATTCACCTGAAAATAGTATGTAAACCTAGACCGGTAAATGAAAATGCCTTTTCTAAAGCGGGTCTGTGGCTCACCTGCCTCAGAATTGCCTGGGTGCTTGTCAAGAGCAGGTCCTGAATCTGCTGACTCGGGAGAGATGGGGTCTGCGTTTTGAGTGTAAGATGGGAGAATTCTGCACCTGAGATTTTGTGAAAGCTGAAGTGACCCCAGACCACAGCACGTGGCCTCAAACCTTCCTGTCAGATAAGAGGGGTTAGAGATCCACCTGCCTGGGGGTGGGGGCGCCTTTTAACCCCCAGAGAAGGAAAAGGACATCACAAAATGAACCCTGAGAATGAAGCTGCCCAGGGAGCCATTAAGTTCTATGTTCTTGCTTTCCCTCTGTGCAAAGCCAAAGCCAGTCTCGCCAACGTTCAGGAGCCAACTGAGGATAAAGAATCAAGAATCTGTCTCACAGTCCGTTTGATCCGTTCAAAGCTGCCTTTCCCACCTGCTGGAATTCATTCTGACTTCAAATCGCTGGAGACATACATAATGAATGAATGAATGAATGAATGAATGAATGAATGAGTGAATGAATGAATGAATACGGAATGAGGGAAGGGACTTCAAATGCAAGTTGGATTTGTGAACCCATCATCATAGCCAACATGTATTTTTAAGTAGCATTTTGAATTCCAACCTATTGTCTTCTTTTTCACACCACTTGCTGAATTCCCTGCTAGAATGTGAAAATGCTATCAAACCACAGAACAAGAGAATGGGACCCCAAACTGAATGGCAGGGTCTCAAATCCCAGCATCAGGATGCTTGCTAGGACTCTCCTGCTCACTCTGCCCCAGGAGCTCATGGGTCTCTTTTTGGTGTTTGCAGCCACAGTCCTCAAATAGACTTTCAATTTTGTTACAATGGATATAATTTTATGTATGTATATATAATACTAGAATCTTGTACAGAATCTTTATTTCTACTGTGTGCTTGTTTGCAAAGGAAAATACTCTTAATTTTGGTTAATAACACTGCTGCCTGTTAGCTCCACAGCTTCATTTCTTAATTGCTCTCACTGGTCACTTTTTGTGCTGATACCATGCAATGGACTATGATTGCAAGACTGAGCAATAGACAGAGGTGCCTTGGGTCAGAGTATTCTGATCACACAGACTACCCAGATCGACAGCCTCATCAGACCCTTCCACACTTGCACACCCTGCCCAAAGCTGAAAAGCTTCTGCATGAAGAGTCATGTATCAATTCTCCTGTCCAGACTTTGAGAGCTGAACATTCTGGTTCTGTAAGCAATGCCTACCCAAACGCTTCATGTCTCCAAGGGTGGTTGACCTCTCCTCTCTGGCAAGGCAGAGCGTGGCATACTTTGTGATCCAAGGGACCAAGTGGTACATACACCAGGGTCTCTGTTGGGTTGAATTAGTGTGAGCGGTATAGTTCAGCCCTTCTTTTCCTGGCTAATGTAAAGCACTCCTCACCTTATGCTAAGTCTATATTCCTTGCTCCTATTTCGCCTAAATGAGCTGATAGAAATCTGCAATGTTAGCAAACTGATGATGGAGGAGTGGTAATTTTACTGACTTCTTTCTGGCCCAGAGATGCAGCCCTAGTAGCCAAACTCTTTAAATAAAGCTCTCCAATCTATCCCTACCCCAGCTGAAATAATCTTATTAGCACACTGGATAAGTACACTTGGAACACATTCCCCAACTTAGGAAGTCCTAGAGGGTCTGTGGTCTTGACTAATTGCCCTTTGTGTATATTATCTGGTTACTTACCTTTTCTGTACACAGCAGGCATTCATAAATGCAGATTGTCAGACAAGTGGCATACAGTAGGAAAGAGGAGATGCTTCGGAAGAGGTCCTGGGGAGTGATGGCTGAGTCCAGGTTACAGAGCCTGCCCCCCACCCTTAGAATGTTATTTAAACCAAGTTTAGCTTTTAGAGTCCAGGTCTGGTTAATTGCCAGGGTAGCAAAGAATTGCATGCACCAATATACACAGGAGTCAAAATGCATTATTAATCGAAGATCGAATTCCACATTGTAGTGATGTAATCGTTGTGATTAGGCTGCATAGTAAGTATGCCGGGGAGTGGCTAAGGGGATGGCTAGTATAAAATGTGTTGGCCACAATATCCTAACACCTCTCATCTGCTTGAAATATGGAACAATATCCTAAGATCTCAGCCACTGGAGTCTTGTTCACTACAAGATAGAGCCAAACTTCACAGAATTTTGCAGCAGTCCACAACCAGACAGGATTGTGTCTGCAAACTCTTGTCTTCACAGATTCTAATAAAGTGAAACTCTGAATTTCATGTGGCCTAGAAATTTCTCATTTGGGGTTTATTGGTGGGACTGATTTCCTCCTGTCTCAAGTCCTTTTTCAGGTAGTTCAAGCCTTACTGACAGCCCTTCCTTTGCTGGGAACCAAAGCTCCATGGATGCCTGGAGTCCTGTCTCCTCCAAATAGGAAGGGTGGTTTAGCTATGGAGAAGGCAGAAGGGCAGGTCAACTGATGACTCACCACATCCAGATGAAAATCATTAAAAGTGTATAATGCCTGGGTTGTGCCTGCCCTTGGGGCATCCCTGCAGGCAGAGGCTATCTGTCTAAATTCTTGGCTTCCCTGGGGCATATTCTAAATTGGCTCCAGAAGTGTCTGCATGGCTTGAGGTGTGGTTCCAGGAGTCCAAGGGGGTGAAAAGGTGGTTGGCTCCACCTGGCTTGATCTGAAGTTGAGTCTCCAGAATAGCAAGATCCTGCCCTCTCCAGGGAAGCGCACTAACAAGCTTCAGGAGGGCCATAGAAAGCAGTTCCTTCTCCTTAGCAGCAGCAGCCAGGCAGAAGCACCCACGCCCCATTTGGTTCACACGGTTCCATCATACCGAGATTCAGCCAAATGAAATGATGGCTCAGGCCATCTTCTCTCCCATTAAACCACTGCTAGAAAGGAGTAAGACAACTTCCCCAAGCACACCTTCATTTTGGTAAGCGTCTGTGTCCTGAGACCTTGGCAGAAAACCGAAACCCCAGCTCTTCTAATGGAGAAAGATGTACTAGGCTGGGGAAGGTGCCTGTGTCTGGAAGCCAACGTAGACACAGATGGCCTTCTTTCCCAAACTGTCTCCTGCCCCTTGCTGGCCCTCACAGGGTGGGGATGGCGACCACTGGCAACCTCTGGGGGAAAATGGGAGTGGTTTTCGTCACACATCCCATCTGCGTTCACACCACCGAACAGGAGCTCGCTTCTCCTGATGGGGATGGGGCACTCAAGCTACAGGCATCTGCTCCCAGAACAAACGATTATGGGCAAGCGTTTGGACTTGGCAGTGCAGGGCAGAACTAGCCGCTGAGGAATTCGCGGCCAAGTTTACTGGGTTTACCAATTTCCTGGTTCCCCACCCTTACCCCTGGTCCCCATGTAAGGGGCGGGGCCAGCCCCAAATATCCCGGATGGATCCAGAATCTGCGCCCGCCCCCCTAGTGTGAACACACAAAGGCCTGGAAGAGCAGGCGGGCAGGCAGGGTTGCCTAGTTCCCGTGGGGGTGCTCGGCCCGCCCAGGTGAGAGCATGGCCCGGTGGAAGTGGGTGGTGAAGGGTCCTATTCTCTCCTGGACCCTGCCCTGCTTTTGTTCAGAAATCCCTCCAAGTGTTTCCCCGCCCCATTTCCTCACAGGCTGGCCTGGTTCTAACCACTGAGGGGACACAAGCATATCCTAGGACTTTACCCGTCATTGCTCATACTCCCCTTCACTCTAGAGCGTTGAAACAATCTCCTAGCCACAAAAGCATCACTTTACAGGGAGATGCACTAGCTTGGCAGGATAGGGCATAGATGAGCCACAGAACCCATATACAAACCTTGGTCCGTTGTGGCAGACTATTGATGATCCCTGGTGAGAGGAAGGATTTGCTCCAGAGGTGGTATCTGTCTAGCTGGTACTAGAATGGACACCCATCACCTCTATTCATCCCCTCCTTGGACTCCATGTTAGTTTGTGTGTGTGTGTGTGTGTGTGTGTGTGTGTGTGTGTGTGTGGTTTTCAGATCCAAGACCAGAATTGCTCCAAGCCTTTGTTGTAGGGGTCTCATATGCATTGAATAAAATTGAGAAGGGACCTTGTCACAAGATACTAGTAGCATCCTGTCCCCCTAGTTATGACACCCAAAATGTCTCCAGACATTGTCAGATACCAGTCGCTACCAGATTCTGCCTGAATTAAGAGTGGACTGTGGAGAAATGGGCTTCTTATCATTCCCTCATGCAAGTCGCTTTTACATGGTGGCTCCTTGGCCTGGCTCATCTTTCTATTCACAAATCTATGGCCATATGCATACAGTTTTATTAGGTTGATGAGTGGGTAGATGGATGGGAGGTGGTAGGAGGGGTATCTCTGGAAAGTGAGACACTCATAGGTGGAGATCCGCAATAAGCATAAAAAATAATGAGCCCTTGGTACCAGGTCTTTGGTTTATAACTAACTTAACTGTCAGCTAGCTTTGGGTGTGATGGTGGCCCTCCCTCTCAGTCTCAGCTCCTGACAAAGTCATTCTTTTATACCCAAGAACTCTTGCACATGCACACTAAGTCCTTGAGGCAGGGACTCTTGAGACCATTTCATGCCTCTTTCCCTTCACTGGCAGAGTAAAATGGAGTCTCCTGAGACCTTCATGAGAAAACAGCCCATCACACCAGGATACAGTGGTAAGTGACCTTCATAAAAAGTAGTCCTGGGCTCTGGCTTGTCTTGGTCATTGTCTGTGTCTAACAAGAGTGAAAGCGCTCCAGCTTCTAAGACACACATTGAGAGCACCCCCTGCCGCAGGAGGATGACAGTCAGTCGTGGATAACTGAGAAAACACTTAGGCCAACACTTCAAGAGCTGGCTGGGATACCAGAAGCATTTGACACCTGCTGGGTGGCTTGTGGATAGACAGAGAAAGAAAAGTTCTCAAGTCTCCCACAAGAGTGGTTCTTACCTTCTCATTCCTTCTGAGTCTCAAAAGGGAGACTGACCACCTGCCCTATCAAAGTTGTAGCCCTGAATGTTGTATGTCTAAGAAACCCTTTTATCTTTGACCGTTGGTCTCCATTTCTCTTTTTTTCTTTTCATTTATTTATTTTACATCCCAAACTCAGTTTTCCCTCCCTCCTCTCCTCCTGTTTCCTTCCCCTCCTCCCCTCCACCCTTCCCCCTCAGTCCACTCCTCTGTTTCTGTTCAGAAAGGGGCAGGCCTCTCATGGGTATCAACAAAGCATGGCACATCAAGTTGTGATAAAACTAAGCACCTCCCCTTGTGTTAAGACTGGGCAAGGCAATCCAGTGTGAGGAATAGGTTTCCAGGAGCCATCCAAAGCATCAGGGACAGCCCCTGCCCCACTGTTAGGAACCCCACAAGTAGACCAAGCTACACAGCTGTCACATACATGTAGAGGGCCTAGGCTGATCCCATGCAGGCATTGCTCTCCATCTCTAAAGGCTCTTCCCCCTCAAGCTTCTGAGAACTGCAAATAATTGACATGCTCAGTGATCCCTCACTTTTCACACATAGCTGGTTTCAGAAGGGGCTATGCTTGAAAGCATTCCATGGTTTTCCAGGCTCACCCTGGCCCTACTAACTAGGTAAGAGAATGTGTTTTGGATTTCAACAGTTCAGATTTATTTCACACCTCCCTTTGTCCACTGTCTACTGTAATAGCCTTCTCTATGTAAAGAGTGAATTCTATAAAATGGCAACCAGCCCCATCATCTGATTCTTCAAATGGATGTTTGTAAATTTGAATGTTTCCAGTCCCCCCCCCCCCTTATTAAGGACATTTTGGCTTTAGGGACAGCTTAAATGTGGAGCGATCTTACTTCTAGCTCATTAATTCTGTTTTCTGAGACCATATTCCCCCAGAAGACTGTGCTCATAGGTATTAGGAATTTGGATATGTCTATTTGGGGAATACAATGCACCTTATCATTAGATATTCTTTATGGTCATTATGATAATTAAAGAAGTCAGTATATGCACACTTCACTTGGTAGGAAGTCTTGTGTAACTAGGTATGTGAGTGTCATGTATATGCATACACATACATAAATATATAGATAAAAGTAGGCCTTGCTGGTAGAGATGCCACTTCGAAAAGGGCCTTAAGTTTCTGTGGCTTTCTCCATGACATCATAGGACATATTTTGATTGCCCAGGGCTTGGTGAAATAGTCTATAGTTACTTGTTTCTGTGACTGAGTACCTGATAAGGGACAATGTCAGGAAAAAGGAACTTATTTTGGCTACAGTTAGAACTACGACCCATGATGGTTGAGAAGGCTTGGCAAAGGGGGCTTATGGAGGGGACTCCTCACATTTTGATAGACCAAAATATGATATACCAGCCTTTTTCTTTGGGGCCACCAACCAGCTCCCAAATCATGACATGGAGACTTCTTATTAGTTATGAATGCTTGGCCTTATCTTAGCTCTTATTTTTAATCTGTTTCTCTTTATCTTCATTTTGCATCGGGGCTTTTGACCTTTCTTTCTGTATATCTCACTTTCCTGCTGTCTCTGTGTCTGTCTGTCAGCTGCCTGGCTTCTGGCCCCAGCTGTGTTCCCCTCTTTCTCCTCATTCTCTTCTTCCTTCTCGTCTTCTCAAGCCTAGCTATCTCCTCCTGTTTATTCTCTCTGCCTGCCAGCCCCATCTATTGTGGTGATATTTTGAACAAATAAAATTTACCTGAACATCAGAGGACAGAACAAGCCACCAGACTAAACATAGAGTCCAGGCAGTGGTGCACACAGTTTTAATCCTAGCACTCTGTGAGGCAGAGGCAGAGATCTGTCTGGATTTCTGTGAGTTCAAGGCCATACTGGGCTGCACGAGATTAATCCAGTTTAAAAGGAAAACAGAGCCAGGCAGTGGTGACACACACCTTTAATTCCAGCACTAGGAAGGTTCCAGACAGGAAGTGATATGGTTGGGTGGGAGGGAGGAGACAGGAACTCACTCTCTTTCAGGCTGAGGAGTTGGAGAGGTAAGAGGTGAGGTTGGCTGTGGCTTGCTCTGCTTCTCTGATATTTCAGCTTTCACCCTGATATCTGGCTCCGAGTTTTTATTATAAGACCAATTAAGATTTGTGCAACAGTCTATCCCTGTCCTGCCTGGCTATTGGCCATTCAGCTTTTTATTAGACCAATCAGGTGCCTTAAAGGCAAAGTGAAACAGCAACACATCTTTACATCATTAACAAAGGCAGCATAAACAAACGTAACACACCTTTACACAGCTGAAGTAATATCCCACAGCATAAACAAACGTAACACACCTTTACGTGGTGAAATGTTCCACAACACCAAGAAGCAGAGAGAGGACAGGAAGTGGTGCTGGATTATAAATCTTAAAGCCCGCCTCCAGCCGGGCCCCACCTCCTGACGTTTCCACAGTCTCCTGGAACAGTAGCACCGGACACCAAGTTTCAAACACATAAGCCCGTTGGAATACATTTTACACATAGAGCATAACGGATGAGGGGTCTGTGACTTCAGCTCTGTTGAGGTCAGTCTATTAGATTCTTCTAGAAGGTGCTTTCTTGGGGGTACAGGACTTGGAGCTGCTTCGTTCAGCCCCAAAGCCAGGCTTTCTTTCTTAAGCAACAAAGGCGAAAAACAATGAGCTGTAGTCCTGAGAGATACTTACTCTGCAGCTTAAAGCAAGTTCTTAACCAGTTTCCCTCATTCGTTCTTTTAGAAAACGGCTTTATTGTGGCAATGTTATAGGACTTAGGACTCCGCATCCCGTGTAAATGAATACTTGTGTTTTACCCTTACTAATTGTAATGATTACATGCTATTTCGTGGGAAATGGTGAAAAATTGTCCTAGGCGTGGGTCTTGCAGATAATGAATTTACCTTTTTATGTTATCTGTCTCTGCTTTTAATGGGCCTGCAATTTCTCTACGGTCTGGCAAGAAAGATCCCAGATTGCATTTGGGAAGTGTCAAGGAAAATAAGCTTTCTCTCAAAAAAAAAAAAAAAAAGATGAATAATTTCAGTTACTCCTCAGACTATCATTTAGGCCCATTAAATGCTTTCCCCATTTGCTGTTCAGCCTGACATGGGGGCTTTGCCATCACAGTGTATTACTGTCATATCCTTTGTTGAAGTGGACCTTCCCTCCCCAGCTCCAAGGTCATTTTTTTCTGCAGCCTTGGGAGGGACCAGCCATGGCGCGAACAACAACACCATTTGTATTAATGGCCTTTGGAAAAATACAGCGTTGGTGGCAGTGGAGGGGAGCCAAGTGGAGGGCTGCGGTGGTGGGTGCAGAGGCTGGTTCTCAGACGGCAGCCAGCTACCTCACTCAGGCTATGATTCCCTGTGCTCTCTCAGGCTTCATACCATGGCTCAGTTGCCAGGGAACCCCCAGCGAGGACCACATGAATCACTGCGTGAAAGCCTTCCAGGAGAGAACACAGAGATACAAGGAGCAGATGCAGGAATTGAACTGCTCTATTGCTAGCGCCCCAGCCCTGAAGCCCATCTGCTCTGAGGACACAGTCCTATGGACGCTGCATGAGTATGCCAAGAAGTACCACCCCTTGACTCTGGGTATGGCCTCCCCACATCAGCTTCTCTCAACCCTGGTCCTGAGTGAGATCCCAGCAGGTCATTTGTACAGCCAGAGAGAGTACCTAACCAAACACAGCTGATATCAAAGAGAAGGGACCCATCCCAGGTAGCTGGGGGAGGAGGGCAGCACCCTTGGGGCCCTAGGCAAGTCCCAGTGGACTTTGAGCATCAGCTCATGGATCTGTGGATGCCACTTTGGGAGTTTTCTCTGAGCAAGTCCTGCATTCACCCTAATGGCACTTCTGGTGATGATTCTGATATGCTTTCTCCCACCTGGAAGCTCTTCTGGATTTAGAACCCGAGAGCAAAGTGTGTCCTGGACCTACACTACCTATATTTCCTGGCTATGTCTCAGGCTAACAGTGGCATCTGCCTCCTTGGCTGCTGACAGAATGAAATAAGATGATCTACCTGAGAGAAGCCCTTCCCAGGATCACTGGCACAAAGTTGGGGATCTAGGTGTGGCCTGGGGTCTCTTGGGTTAACTGTTAATGTGCTGGGGGCTTGGGAGTGCTTCCCACCGTACTGTACTTCTCTGAAGCCCTCAGGACCCCTGCTGTCTCCTTGCAGAATGCAAGAATGTGAAAAAATCATTGGATGAGCCCCCCATCCCTGGCTGGGCAGGTTTCCTGCCCAGAGCCAGGGTCACTGAATTTGGCTGTGCCACAAGGTATACCATCATGGCCAAAAAGTGCTACGAGGACTTCCTGAATCGGATGGAGCAGGCCAAGAGGACACATCTGAAGCCATATGATCAGTAAGTGCAGCTTGCATTACCCAAAGCTGCAGGATGCAGGGAGCAGAGCAGAGGGGAAGGGACGGCAGGGCACACACCCGACCCCAGCGCTCCTATTACCTTGTCTTAGTTCTGGGTCTGGCCTGCTGTTAGAATGTGCCTTAATTGTCACAGCAGGGCCTTCCTGCAGGCAGCTGTGCCCTGGGGACAGGGAAGGACTGCAAACAACCGATGGAACTGTCTGTCCCAGCATTGGCTGACATGCTAAGGGATGCTAGGCATGGTAGCGCACACCTTTAATCCCAGCAGTCCTGAGGCAGAGGCCAGCAGATCTCTGTGAGTTCAGGGCCTGCTCTACATACTGAGTTCCAGGACAGACAGGGCTACGTAGAGAGACCCAGTCTCAAATAATCAAATAAAAAAAATAAATGAGGATGATCGGTTACAACATCTAGCGTCCTGGGGTTGGTTCAGTGGATCTGGCTGGCTGGGCAGCTGTCCTCTTCCTCGCTGCTCCACGTGCATCCCTCTGGAAGTTGTTTGCTTTGTTGAAGAGGACTGCCTTCCCCCAATAGAGGAGGACTGGTCTGCTGTGCTCCATGCTAGAACCTCAAAACAGTCTCTCAAGATGCCGAGGGAGGGAGCTGCCAGGGATACTGGAGCACTGTCCAAGGCGGCTCTTGTGTCTCAGTTACCATCCGTGACACAGGGACCGTAGTTCTGAACGTTAGGGTGGATTGTAAGGATTATAACACACTGTGCTTGCGCAGGCCTTGAATGCTATACCTCTTACATAAGGAGTAACTTCATGCTTTCTGCTTACTTTAGAATATACGGTGTGAGCTCTGCACAGCCTCCTGACCCTTCCCCAAAAGTCTCACAGCTCCAAGGTCTCCCACCCGAATCCTCTGTGCCAGGTAAGCAAGGGAGGCACTGTTTCCTTCCGACCTGCCTGCTCAGCTAGCTCGCCTGTGTGCAGCTCATGTGAAGGCTTTCTCTTCCAGGTCTAACCCCCGCGAGTGAGGGCTCCCGGGCTCCTGGAACCTGTGGCTGTGCTCAGTGGTCCAGTCTGTCGTGCAGCAGGAACGTGTATGGGGAGCCACCTTCCTCAGCAAAGACATTTGCAGAGGGCTAGAATCCTTCATCCTCCCGAAGAGGTGTTCAAAAGCCTGCTGCACTTGCATCAAATCCAGCCCCTCCCACTCTTTGGGCAGTGAGGAAATTTAATAAGAATTCTTTAACTGCTACCTGTGCCCTGCGTGATTGGCAATGTCACCCATGACGATCTTTGAATAGAGAGGTCACCTCTCAGCCTGCTAAGTTTTTTTTTTTTGTCTGAGGACAGGGGTGATGGGAGTTTTCAACATGTTGACCTGGTGAAGGGCCCTTCCAGGGTTGTCCCCTCTTGACACCGAGGTAACCTTGTATAGCTGGGCCAGGCTCTTCTTCGAAAGCCTAGCCAATCCTTCTCAATAGTCTAACCCTGGTGTAGACTGCCCGCAACCCTGGTACAGATATCCTACTCCAACCCTGGTTTTCTAGAATCCAAGTCCCTAGGGAGACTCCAGCTGGCAGACCCCAGCTCTGTGAGATTACCAGGGCTGTTTGAACACAGTACCCAGCGGGGTGGCTTCACCACACACGAAGTCCAAATCTGTAGGTTTCAGTTGCTGGGACCAAATACCTAAGAGGCAACTCAAGAGTGGAAGGGTTTGTTGTGGCCACAATTCAGGGGTTCAGAGTCGGTCATGGCGGGGGAGGCGTGGCAGGAACACGAGGTGGACAGACACACTGCATTTGCAGTCAGACGGGGGACAGAGCCAGGCTACACCAAACCTGGAGGCCCCCTAAGTGACACACTTCCTCCAGTGAGGCTCCGTCTCTTAAATGTCCTGCAGCATTCCAAAACAGCGCCGCCTCTGGAGGACGGTGTTCAAACACTGGAGCCTGTGGGCGACGTTTCACATTCAGACCAGGCCATAGATCTGCAGTCTCTGTCTTCTGGTCGCATGGCATTCCTCCTATGTGTCTGCAGACTCACTTCCTCTCGGGAACACTGGCCACGTTGGCACCGGAGTTCACTGTGCTCCATCCTGATGCAATCCTAACTAGTCAAGCCTGCAGGACCGTGTTTCCAAGTCGTATTCTGAGGTCCTTGTTTTTAAGGGACACATTTCAGTCATTAAGATTGGCTTTCTGTCTTTCCTGTGGCAGGCCAGGTGTCTGATTTCCTGTGGTAGCTGTCAGTACACAGAAGAAGTCATAGGGAGCTCTGAGGAACAGAGTCTGTCCATGGGCATCGAAACTCCTGGAAACTCAGAGCCCACTGTTACACGGATTCTAATTAGTCTTAATAATAAAAACCTGGAGCTGGATACGGGCAAATGCTAGAAGATCAGAGAAGCAGAGCAGCCAGCTACCAGAAGTGCTGGGATCAAAGTGTGAGCCACCGATGCCAGCTCTGTTTCTCTTTTAGACTGGACCAGTCTTATGTAGCCCAGGCTGGCCTTGAACTCAGAGATCCATCTGCCTCTGCCTCCTGAGTGCTGGGATTAAAAGTGTGTGCCACCACTGCCTGGCCTGCATGGCTGGCTAGTGGCTTAGCTCCGCACTCTGATCTCCAGGCAAGCTTCATTTGTTAGATCACAAACAAAATATCACCACAGCCCACAGAAAGAGGTTTTTTTGTTTTGTTTGTTTTTCTGGGAGCTCCTCACACAGCCAGGCCATCCTTGCTGCATAGTGCATAGTTGAGTTCTCTGGAAAAAAGAGCATGCTGAGGGTAGGGGAGTGAGTCTGAGTTGTTTTAAAGATATGTTAGGGCCAGGGAGATGGCTCAGTAGGTAAAGGCTCCTGCCATCAATCCTGATGACTTAAGTTCAATCCCTGGGACCCATAAGATGGAAGGAGAGAACCAACTGTGGTGATCTTTTATCTGTGCACCCCAACAAAGCTTATCTGAGGACCAGAGGACAAAGCTAGCCACTTAGTAAACACAGAGGTCAGGCAGCGGTGGCACACACCCTTAATCCTAGCATTCAGGAGGCAGAGATCCATCCAGATCTCTGTGAGTTCAAGGCCACACTGGGAACAGAGCCTAACCCTAACCCTAATCCCAGCACTAATTAACCATAGAGGTTTGGAGGTCTGTACAGATAGACAGGAAGTGATGTAGCTGGGTGGAGAGAGGAAGTGAGATGGAGGACACAGAAAGGATATAGGCATGAGTATACAGGAAGTAGCTCTCTTTTTGGCTGAGGATTTCTAGTGGTAAGGACGTGGCTAGCTTCTTTCCGCTTCCCTGATCTCTCAGTTTTTACCCCAATATCTGGCTCTTTTTTTTTTTTAATTAATAAGACCATTTAGCAATTCATCTTACAAACAACCCCCCATAAGTTGTTACCTCTAACTCCCACAAGTATGCTGTGGCATGTGTGCCTAAATACATTTTAAAAAATTAAAAATATATTGGAGTTGTTGTTTAAAGGAAAAAGCCACATCTCAGTAGAAGGTTGACATTCTCTTCATAGGGCTGAAGCAACGCTCCAAGATCAGTCAGGATTCTTCCAGGCTCTTCATCCCTGAAGGAGTGAGTGATCACACAACTCCACAAAGGCACCAGGAGGCAGGTCCCCCAGCTGCCTGGAGGTGTGTGGCCCAGGCCCCTGCTTCTCCATCAGCCTCTCCGAGATGGGCTGAGTGAGAAGAGCAGGCATGGGAGGTGTGTCTGCTTGGCCCTTCACGTGACCCACAGTGTGCAGGTAACCGTGTTGGGCTACTGGGGTCTTCGCAGTGAAATGAGACAAACTGGCATACTTCTCGCCTTGCCCTCCTCCCAGGAGTTTAAGCCTGTGTCAATATTTAATTTCTTGGCTAATTCATTTTACAGTAACTTTAAAAAAATGGCTGAAACTTAAAACCTCCAACAAAACCCCTGAAACAACCCAGTGAAGAGGTGATGAGATGAGGCCATTCAACTCCTCCACGGTCTGTTCTTTTCCAGGTCATGATCACCAAGTTCAGGGCGCAGGACTGCAATTCCCTTTGTCTCCCCAGGGCTGCTCTGCAATTCTTCTCCTGAGTCTTCATCTTTTCTGTTTCTCCCTAGCCTATAATTTCCAAGAGCTTCTGTCAGTCGGGAGGGGTGTATAGAGGTGATTTTTGTCTTGCAGCAAATTATCGTTATTAGCAAAGGCTGCATCCATAATGAGCTCATTCTTGCCACTAAAAACAATTCTATTACCTGAGAAGAAAAGAATCCCTGGGCCAACTGGGCCTTTTTGTCAGGATAGCTCAATCTTTGTGAATTAAAGTCCTCTTTTTAGGGGTCACCTTTGCTTTCTGTTGTACAGAAATTGATAGCCCTCCTTTAAGTTGGTAGAGAGGGGACACCAGTGGTCCCTGTCCCTGCCGCAGGTGACCAGCTGCCTGCAAACCTCCTTGCAAAGCTCTCAGTTATAGCTTTGACTTTGCTCAAGCGCAGCTGTGTGTGGTGTAGGCTGTAGATCCCCAGAGTTCACATCTCAGCTCTTTATTTCTGCACATGGGACCGTGGACACACCCCCTAAAACTCTGTGAGCATCGTATTCCTAATTTGTGAAATGAAGATTATGCAAGAGCCTCATAGCATCCTTATGATATTAAGAGACAAGACAGGTGAGGGACTGTGGCTGTAGCTTAGTGGTAGCGTGCCTGGTTACTGTGGCCAAGGTCCCGGGTTCCATCCACAACCCTGCTATGTTAATATTAGTTACACTTTACTTGTTGCTGGTGTCAAATACCCAACAAGAGGAAATTTAAAGAAAAGTTTATCTTCTCTTACAGTTCAAGAGGGTACAATATGCCATCATCAGGAAGACACTGGCTGTGGGAACAGAAGGCAGCTGATGACGTCACATCTGCAGTGAGCAAGCCAGAAAGCTCCCCTAGTGCTCCCCTCTTTATTCAGTTCAGGACTTCAGCCTGTAGAATGACGGCTGGCTAGACTGGGTCTTCCTACTCTGGACACTCCCTCACAGACAGGCCTAGAGGTGTGTCTCCTAGGTTATTCTAGATCCTGCCAAGTTGATAATTTGAAAACTATTACACCTATAAAACAGAACAAGACAAAGCCAATCGAAATAACAGTGTAGGAAGTCACATGGGACAACCAGTCTGTGCACTAAGCCCTCAGGCCACTCTGTGATCTGTGGATCTCTTCCTTGGCCATTGTCACAGTAAACAACTTCTAAAGAGCTGTGGCCTCACCCTGGGTCACCTTAAGGAGGTAACAGGTGAGAGGATAAGGAGTGAACACAAGAGTGTGAGGAGTGGGATGCAGCCTGCCCCAGGGTTTGGGTGGCCACTGTTGGCTTTGGGAGTCCTCAGGATCTGTGTTGCCGTATTATTGCTGGATGATCTCCATAGGAAAACAACTGTTTCAGGCTCCTGTCTTCTGTTGTAAGAATGATCAGCCTTCCTTGTGAGGTTGTTGTGGAAGACTCAGTGAAATGATGTGCTTAGCATGATATTAACAGTTTGCAGGTGTGAAGTTCACATGTGCAGGCCTTCATGATCACTCAATAATCATTGCTAAAAGCACCAGGACAGACAACACAGGAAGAAACTGAATAAAGACAGACCCCCTCACCTGGTGCAAGCTAACCCGGAACTCTCTACTTGCTTAGAGGACCCCATTTGTGTGTGAGTGTGTTTTAAAGTAATTGCCAACCAATTGGCTAGGCATTTCTAGTGAGCAAGCCAGTAAGAAGCCTTACTCCGTGGTTCCTGCCTGCAGATCTTACTCAAGTTCCTTCCTGACTCCTGCAATGATGAGTGACAGAAGTGTAAGCTGAAATAAATCCTTTCCTCCCCAAGTTGCTTTTGGTCATAGTGTTTACCACAGCAACAGAAAGAAAACCAGAATAGGCCCGGACAATTACATATTATAGGCTTCGTGAGCCATATGAACTTTCATGACTACTCTGCCAACAGTAGGAGACTAGCCAGTGTGTAACTAAATGGATGGCTACTGTGTTTCAATAAAACTTTATTGACAGACACTGAAATTTTAAGTTCATACAAATTTTCATGTATCATAAAATGTCATTTGTGTTTTGAATGTCTAGGACACAATTAACTGTGATTGCCATTCTTAGGAAAGGAAGAAGGACAAAGAGTATGGCTAGGACCCCAAGTCCAGCCTCTGCAAAAGCCACACACTAAGTCCAAAGCATGGTGCTAGCCAGACTCTAGTTGTGATTTATTTGTTGCAGTATGGGCCAAGCAAGCACCCCTCTAGGAGACAGCCCACTGGAAGATTCCAGAAACATAGCCTCCTGCAGCTAGAGCCCTGAGGATATAGTCTAAACCCTTGGCCAAAAGACAGGAGGACAAAGACCAGTGTGGAGCTTGTATTAGCCAGGAGAAAGCCTACGGTGGCTTGAGAGAAGGCAGAAACAAAGGCCCAGGAGAGGCTTTTTATACCATGCATTAAAGTTAAAATCTAATTTAGATGAAAATGGAGGCACAGAAATGAAAAGTGTGTGTGGCTTCAGCCGTTCAGCTGTATGCCCTCTAACGATAGCCTTACAAAATATATTCCCTTGGCTCGGGAAAATAAAGATGATATTTCTCCTCCTTTTTCAGCAATTTGATTTTGTTGTTTTTGCAAATTGCTTTAGCTTTGTGAATAGTACAAACTCCATTTCTGATCTGCAGCAAACAAAAATAGAGCATTAAAGTGTTTAAGGTTCAATCAAAGGCTTGCTGCGTGCGGCACAATATTAAAATAACAGAAAAGTCGATTCCGTTTTTATTTTGAACGTGATTTGTCACAAATAGCATTCTAATAGATAACACTGATTATATGGTAGCAAATGTAATTTATATATACCGAGCACTATGGCTTTGTTGGTCGTCATTAAGGAATTTGACACGTACGCAGGAGAACAATAAATGTCAGCTGAAATATATACCAGCCAGATAGAAATGGGATGCTGAAATGAGTGATGCTGGCACACACTATACTTATAACTAATAATATGCAGTCTAAAGTAGCTTGGGTTTTCAAACAAGAACTCTTTTTATGTTGTCATTTAAAATATCTCATATTTCTGAAGGTCAGGAATAAATGGCACTATTAGCATTAAAAGCTAGTAAAAGATATTCATTTAACATAACATTTTACGAAATAGCTTTGTAAAGTATTCATTTTTTTTCCACTCTATGGAGGCTGAGGAGATGTGATGAAGATGCCAGATCCTCTGTGGGTGACTTTACATCGCACCTTTGTTGCTGTTAACATCTTCAGTCAGTAAAATCTTTGTGGCACTATGCCTTGAGCCTGGTGTGGAATAAAGTTGTCTACACAGCTGTGGCTTTGGCTGGTCTGGCAGGGCCACAGCTATAGGGTGTGAGCATCAGAGGTGAGGAAAAAGGGTTCTCTGTGACAGTCATGAGTCCGGGGAGAGGGAGAAGAGAGGCCTTTGCCTTGTGCTTCAGCAATAGCAGGTGATAAATCAGAATCTAATTCAATCAGAGACGTAGGTCCATCCCAGGGGAGGCCATTTGGTTGCTTTTTACCTTCCATAGTCTCTGAACTGCAAATATAGTAACAAACGTGATCTATTGGGCTCCTGTAACTCTATCAGATGGTTTCTATATTTCTTCCTTTTCTTATATTTGGACTTCTAAAAAGTTAAACTACAAAGAAACCTTACTGACAACCACATGGAGTTATGAAAAATAATCCTTTTCATCACATTTGTCTCAACTTCTTTTGTAATGAAAATAGATATGATATTGCTGGTCTCTTAGGAGGGTTCTAAGCAGACTTCTTGGCTGTCTTGATATTTCAAATAGCATGGGTGGTGGATAGTAATATTTTATGAGGAGTGAAATATACAAAATCTCTGAGCTCCATGGCAGCTTCTCAGTGTTGCTTAGGTTCTCTCCAGGATGTTGGAGGCTCTACCTATTTTGATACATATAGTTCCCAGTTTGTCATTTTTGTTTGAAAAAGTCAAGTTTTGTGTAATCTGATGAGTGAACTATCATTTTGGTCTTATTTGCATTTCTCTGATTCCTTAAGTGAGATGGAATCGCCAGCATCTGTACTTCAGTTTCACTTGGTGTGCTTTGGATACGGATTGGCCTCAAAAGGGTCACATGATGGAACCTTGGTCCCCTGGTGGATGTTGAGACATTGTGGGTCTTTAGGAGATGAGGCCTTTTGGAAGCAGATTGTGCCAGGAGGGCACAGCTATTGGAAGGGATTGAGGTCCCCACAGGGCATTAGTCGGGTCTCAGGGATGGATTATTTCTCACAAGGATAGGTTGTTATAAAAGTCAGTTTGACTTTGTGCTTCTTTCTCTTTTGTTTCTGCACATATCCACTGTCCACCATGCTGTGATACAGCCCTTGCCATGTAGATTTTCCAGCCACCAGAACTGTGAGACAAATGAGAAGTGAGCTTCTTCTTTTTTTGTTCAGCATCAGGTTGTTATTGTTTGTTTCAATAGTAACAGATTACAGCAGCCTCTCTATGGGCTACCTGCCCATGTCCTTTGTCCATGTTCTCATTGTAGTCTTCTATTTATGGTATCTGAATACTCGATCTTGGTTGTGCCTACTTGGGACACCTTCTCTGAGGCTGGACATGTCTTGTTTGTTTTTGATTCTCTGTTACTCTGAAATAAAATTCATGTCAACCAAGTACTTTTTGCCTCATAGATTAGCTGCTGGTTATGTGCCAGGCTGTGGTATGCTGTATTTAATGCTAACTGCTGCCCTGTGTGCGAGGTTGCTGTTGAGCATGGAGGACAATGTGGCTGTGACATAGAGCCAGCTCAGCACAACTGAAAAGCTTTCTTCCTACTGTTAAGATCTGTAGGGGCTGGAGAGATGGCTCTGTGGTTAAGAGCATGCACTACCATGGCAGAGGACCTGGGTTTGGTTCCTACCACCCATACTGGGCAGCTCATAACCACCTGTAGCTCTAGAATATACATTCACTTGCACACACACACACACACACACACACACACACACACACACACACACACTCTACAACCACACAGATGCACATATAACCTAAAGAAATAAGTTTTTTAGGAAAAGAATTTGTTGTTAATAAAGGGTTTGTTAGAAACCCAGAAGGAACTGTATTCAGTGGTTTTCACCTTGGTTGTATGTTTCCCAGGAGCTTAAAAAATACAGGTATCCACCACAGAGGTGGTGACTGGGCTAGGATACAGCCAGAATATGAAAGCCCCATAATGATTCTAATACATGGTCAAGACCAAGAGCAGAAGCTCTGTGTTCTGTGGCTTTATCTGAAACACAGAGTAGGGCTCAGATAATGACCCATTTCATTGTACCAAGCAAGGAGTTTTAAATGATACATAGGGTTCCAAGGAAAAAGAGTTGGAAAATACTAACAAAAGAAATGAGGAAAAAGAATGGGCTGAAAAGCCTGAGATACTGAACTGAAGCTTCGATTCCACTGTGGGCTCTTCACCAAGCGTTGCTCTTGGCTGCCATGACACCATTCTTGGAAGTTACTGAATGAGGCCATTTCTATATTCTAAGAATTGAACAGAGACCACCCCACTATGGCCCATCAAGTTCACCCAGCAGAAAACATCACAAAAGGATATTAATTGTATGATTACTTGTGATGGGAAAGAGTGCATCCTCCTCAGCATTAGGACCCACCATTCACACTATGCATGCCTCTCCTTGGAGTTTACAAAGCTTCTTGATGAATGAGAGCCCTTTTCTGTACCATTAGATATTAATACCCAATTTATGGAGAATTAAATACACAAGCTGGTAGTGGTACGTATAGTGTTCTTCTATTTGTGCTTGGACAAAAGGGTAGGGTGTGAGGTGGACACAAACATATTCATATGTAGAATATTTCTGGGGAATAAACTGAAGTTGTCCCAAGGAAGAAAAACTGAGACACCTGAAGATGTAGGAATGTTCTGTATCACTTGAATTTTGTACCAACAGCATGCATTAACTTGCTGTTTTAAAGCTCTTCCTCTTTCATGCCATGGGTTGATTTTAACACAAAACACAAAAGTTCAGCATTCTACGAGCACAAGATACACAAAATGCCCTGAAAGTGAGAGATGTAACAGAGGAGTGTGTGTGTGTGTGTGTGTGTGTGTGTTGTGTGTGTGTATGTGTGTGTCTGTGTGAAGTCCTGTGGTGACCTTGCCTTTTGACCCAGTCACCATTTTCCAAAATGTGACCCTAGTGCACAGAATGTCATAGTAAACCTCAACCTCAGACCAAGTGCATTGAAAACATTTATTATGGAAAAGAGGCAAGAGTCTGAGCACACCTTTAACAAGGGTAAAGAGACTGTAAGACGTCTTCACGCACAGTGTTGCTGCTACAGAAGTTGTACCTGTGGAGAAAGCATCAGGCTGGCTTGTCAGTGGGTCCATGGCTTTGATGCAGCCATGAGACAGTCTCCCAGGTTTGCTTCCTCTGACTGAAGGACTCTAGGACCCTAGGCAGGGACCCAACCAGTTCCAAAGAGGAATTGACCCACTCTTCTCCTTGAGGGCTGTTCAAACGCCAAAAGTGCAACAGCTACATCAAAGCAAAGTGTGTAACTCAGCCTTTCCTGTTGCTTTGGTCTCACAGAAGCCAGCAGTGGCCCTGTCACTGGCCCAGAGCAGGTCTTCCCTTTGAGGTCTGCATTTTCTTCAGGCTATAATATCTCATTATTTTCTGATTACTGTCAATTGAGGTATCCTTTTTTCTATGTTTTGAAATTATTTGGTTTCCTGGTTATCTTTAACTGCCAACTTGACATACCCTAGAGTCACCCTAGAGGGGAACCTCAACAGAGGAATCCCTTAGGTCAGATTGGTCTGTGGGCATCTGTGGAGCATTGTCTTGACTTTTAATTAAGAGGTCCCAACCCACTGTGGGCAGTACCATCCCTAGGCAGATAGTCCTGAACTGTTGAGGAAAGTTAGCTGAATATAAGCCAGCCTTTGAGCCATGTAGCAAGCAGGATTCTCCATTTGGCTAGGAAGTGAGTTCCTTGACCAGAGAATGCTGTTTGGGATAGCAAGAGAGCCAGCCTGCCAGTCCAGCCTTGAGTCCAGCCTGTGCTCTTCAGTGATGGACTGTGACCTGGAGATGTAAGCTAAAATACTCCTCTCCCCCCATCACCTAGCTGCTTTTGGTTAGAGTCTTTTATCACAGCAACAGAACAGAAACTACAACAGCAGGTTCCATTACAACTCCTACTAAAGAAGATTCCCTTCCCTGAGAGTAAGAGCTTGTTACCGTAAGCCAAGCTCATGTCTATATCCCTCCCATGCCAAGTCTCAAAAAACTCAGTTCACACAAATAACACTGCATACTAACGGAAACTAATTCCACCACGTTTTTCCTAGATAATTTTGTCATTGGAAAGGAAATGATCTCCCATTTGCTTGTTTCTTATATCTTACAACCAATGCTTTGTCCTCATCATGTTGAATATTATTATCTAAGGGAAATTGTACTCAAGTTTTCACAGTAAATCAGATGGATAGGTGGTGAGGTGAGATGAAAAGTTGGGTGATTTAATGAGTGAATTAGATGAACAAATGTCTGGAAGATGTGAAAGTTGAGAGACAGATGAATTGGTGATGAAAGAGGAAGTGAAAAGGAAAGAGGCTGGATGAAGGATGATTGGAAGGATGGGTGGATGCAAAGACAGACAGGTACATAAATACAGCCAGACAGAAGGAATATCAGATACGTACTCTTTCCCATCTTTACCACTTTGCACTGTGATTTGTGAAGCTCCCATCTTGGGCCGGAAGAGATTTATCACTTTGTTGTTCCAGAGGAACTTAACCTTCTGGATTTCTCCAACATCGACGTCCACATCAATGTCTTGCACATGCGTTGCTTCTGGTTTGAGGGATCCTCTGATTACACAGACAGCGATATCATGTCATCTGGATGCATGACTACATAGGATGATATTCACCCATTGTTTCTAAATAAAGTGGGTGGTGGGTTTCTGCAAACACCTGGGAGAACTGCAAACATATCCAGTGGACTTCACAAACAAATATATTTCTGGAGAACACATCTTTTAAAAAAGTCAGCCTTTAGATAATCATTGTTTTTGTTTGTCCCAAAGAGGAGTGAAATATTTGGGGTAGCTGGGAACTCTAAGAGTGCTACAGGACAAGTTGATGCAGTGTCTTTGTTTGAAAGATGCATGCAGTTTGGTAAACACAATTTGTTAATATCACATAAGTAACTCCAGAAGTTGTCAAATAAATTAAACTATTTTGTAGAGCCATTAATGTTAAATGCAAAACCAGACTCTAATTTGTACTTCTAAGTTATATATTCACTCAACACATACCTACCAAGCTCTTCATACATCTAGCATAAGCTATGGGCTGAGACCATGATAGGAATAAGCTGTGGGCCCCAGGCTTCACATGTCTCTCTGTATATATTGGGATGGGGAAGTAAGGTAGGGGGTTGTCACATAGATGGACCTTGCTCAAAAGAAAAATGAAGACCAAGCCAGGCTGATGGTGCAGGCCTGTCATTCTAGCCATTTAGAAGGCTCAGGCAAGAGTATCGCAAGATCAAGGCCAGCCTGGGTAACTTAATGAGACCCTGTCTCAAAACAAACGAACAAATGAACTAAAACAGAAAGACTAGAAAGAGGGCTGGAGCTATAGCTCAGTGGTGAAGTATTTGCCCAGCCTGCAGGAGGCCCTAACTCTGAGTATTACACACACACACACACACACACACACACACACACACACACACACACACACACACACAGAGTCCTGTGATTAACAAAAGCAATCTGTGTGATCCATTTTAAACAATAAGCTCTCCCTCCCAGGGTCTTCTCTTCTCACATATAAGATGGGGTGATTGAATTAGATGTAGCAATTTCCTCCCAGCTCAGACAGCCTGGGACTTGGGTTCCGCTGAGTAAATAATACCTGAATTAGTAAAGCAGTGGATAGCCACACCTTTATGAGTCACCTCTTATGGAAAGCTTAGCCGTTGCATTTGCTACAGAACTCACTTGAAAATTTCATACTGTTTTGAGTTTCCATTACTTCCATACAGAGCGACCAAGATGTACCCACTCAGTTTCTTTTCTCCAGACAGTGTGACTGACACCTTGTATCTCCAACCTGTGCCAAGAAGTATATCATTTTAACAAACTTATCTTGTTGAAAAAAAAAAAAAACTCAACTGGAAGTGTTACTTTTCTAAGATCAGCTTCCCTTGGGTAAGAGGTGAGGGATGTGACTGTGTTCTTCCATGGAGTTGACACATGACTTTAGATACTGGGCAAGGTGAGGAGACCAAGGGGACAGAAAACATGACAGCTGAGCACAACGCAGTGTCTGCCCTGACAAGTGAAGGACCATCTATTGCTACACAGGCCCCAGATGGATACAGGAGAATCCCCCTCCTCCATCCCAATTTGTATGTTGAAGTCCTGACTGTGGTGGCTAGTTTTGTGTCAACATGATACAGCTAGAGTTATCTTGAAGGCAGGAACTTCAACTGAGAAAATGCCTCCATAAGATTGGGCTGTAGGCAAGCCTGTACAGCATTTTCTTAATTAGTGATGGGGGAGGGGCCAGTCCATTGTAGGTGGTGCCATCTCTAGGTTGGTGGTCCTGGGTTCTATAAGAAAGCAGGCTGAGCAAGCCTTCGTGAGCAAGCAGTAAGCAGCATTCCTCCATGGTCTCATCATCAGGTCCTGCCTCCAGGTTCCTGCCTTGTTTGAGTTTCTGTTCTGGCTTCCTTCAGTGGACTACAATGTGGAGTATAAGGAACAAACCCTTTCCTCCTCAACTTGCTTTTGGTTATGGTGTTTCATCACAGCAATAGAAACCCTAACTAGGACAGAAATCCGTAGCAGGATATGGGTATTGCTGTGACAGACCTGACCATGTGTTTGGGAGGATTGTGGAAGGACTTTGGAACTTTGGGCTAGAAGAGCCATTGAGTGTTGAGAGCTCAGTAGGCTGTTCTGTAGGAGCTTTGAAGACCAATGAGAGCAGGCCAGATGATGGGGGCCAGGCTTGTGAAGTTTCAGAGGGAAATTTGAAAGTCCATTAATGATTCTGAGTTAAGAATCTGTGGTTCTTGTCATCTGGGCTGAAGAATCAGCTGTGACTAACAAGAGACCAGAACCACTGAAGGAAAACCTTTGCTTTCCTGGGATACTCGATGGGCTTAGCTGAAGCTGAGAAATCAATGATGATTAAGAAGAGACCAGCATCATTAATGTGAAATCTCCTGGAAGTGTTTTCTGAGAGTCAGCACACAGAAGCCAAGATTGTACCTTGTGCTAGCATATGAACTTGGTAGTGTAAGAGCCTCCCGGGTGGTGCTGGTTTTGAAGGTATGAAGGGGTCATGGAGAGCAGCTGAGGCTTGGCACTGCAAGAGGCCAGGAGAGGCCATTGGTGAAGGTGCAGCTGGATTAGCAGTGGAAGCCCCAGGATTGAAGGGATCATGGAGAAGGTTGAGGCTTGGCACCGTGAAGAGAGCCTGTGAGAGGCTATTGGTGAAAGTGCAGCCCAGTTGCAGCAGAAGACCAAGCACTTTGGAGATGCCAGGACCATGAGCTGACACAATGAACAGCAGCCACCATGGAGTGAAGTCGGACTGAGTCTAGAAGACAAGCTGTGTGTGCTGCAGAAGAGGAAGCCTGAGAAGTGACCCAGGCCCCTTGGAAGAGCCCAGAAAATCATGAGTCCTAGATAATTGGACATTGAGATTTTACATTGTTGGAGTTTGGCTTTGCTTTGTTCAGATTGTGATTGTGCCCTGGTTCTTCCCTCTTGAGAAGTAAGAAAGTATTTATTTTTGATTTAACAGGGGCCCACAGTCAAGAGACCTTAATTTTAAAAGACTTTAGATTTTAAAGAGATTATTTTAAAGAGACTGAATTTTTAAGTGTTTTAATTTTTAAAGATGGTGGGGCTTTTAAAATTTGGAATATTTATATTGTAATGTTGATATTAATGTGTGATCTCGGCAAAGAACAAAAGGAAGGGCTGTGGCTTAACAGCGGTGTGTTTACGTGTCAAGCTGACAAGGGTCAGTAGAGCCGACTGGTCTTATGTCAGCTTGACACAGCTGCAGTTACCTGAAAGGGGAAAACTCAATTGAGAAAATGCCCCATAACATCTGGCTGTAAGGCATTTTCTTAATTAGTGATTGATGAGGAGGACCCAGCCCTTTGTGGGTGGTGTCATCTTGGAATGGTGGCCCTGGGTTCTATAAGAAAGCAGGGCGAGCAAGCCAGGAGACCCAAGCCAGTAAGCAGCACCCCTCCACGGCTTCTGCATCAGCTCCTATCTCCAGGCCGCTGCCCGGCTTGAGTTTCCTTCAGTGGTGGACTGTTACCTGGGAGTGTAAGCCAAATAAACCCTTTCCTCCCCAGCTCGCTCTTGGTCATGGTGTTTCATCACAGCAATAGTATCCCTAACGGGGACTGCTGATGTGACAGTGTTAGGGGAGGGGGAGCCTTTGGAAGATAAGTCTTGAGGGCACGAGATTATTAAAGGGACTCCAGGGGCGCTGCAGCCCTTTCTGCACTAGTCACGAGGCAGGGTACGATAGGAAGATGCTTGTGTGCAGAACCCGACCATGCGGCTGTGCTGAGCTCACATCCAGCCTCCAGGACCTTGGGGAATAGATGTGCTTATAAAGCTCCTGGTCTAGAGTGCCGCTGTAGCTGACTGAACCAGCTAAGGCTTGGTTGCAGGTGATGCTGTTATTCGTGGCATTTGATCACTTTTTTCTTTTCCAATTGGTCAACAGTTAGATTTTCCCCTCAATCTTTTATTTGAAAGCAATCCTAGTAAGAATATCTGAGCACATCTGTGTTTCTGTGGAATGTCCTGAGAATAGTGTCTAAGCCAAGAGGATATGCATGTTAAGACATTATAGATACTAATGAGTTACTCTTTTTTTTTATGATAAAGACAGGATGGCATGAGATAATCTAAGTGTATACCATATAATCATTTAAGCATAAAGCTGCCACAGAAAAGGCTTTTCAGTTAGCTTGATTCTATTTGTAACAAATTACCCTTAATGCTTCTACTACCTTGTGTTTTCTAATGAGAACTTGAGCAAAATGAAGCCCATGACAATGGAGTGTTGTGTGTATGTGCATGTGTGCTTGTATACATTGTGTGAGTGTGTGTGTGAGTGTGTGATGTCAGAGGGTAGTCATCTCCATGATGATTTTCTGATTTACAGTCACATTGCCTCAGCTGTCCTCTTCTTGCATCAACACATCTATCTTCTCTGTCATGAGTAGATGGACATGCGACTTGGCCACTCACTGTTCTTAACTCTAGTTTTCATAGGAATTATGGGTTAATGGAGTGAATATGAACCCATGCTGTTCTGCCACCCTTACATTACAGCTCGAGCTGGTGACACTTGAGGTTTTTTTTGTTTTTTAATTAATACCAAGGGGCTTCACTAACAGAGCTCAGGTGCTTTTAAAATTATTTTTAGAAAATTTTTTGGTTTTTTGGTTTTTTTGAGACAGGGTTTCTCTGTGTAGCTTTGCGCCTTTCCTGGAACTCACTTGGTAGCCCAGGCTGGCCTCGAACTCACA